ATCTAGGCTTTTTTGCTCCATTTTTAGAGCACAATCAAAATAGATTTATTATAATTCTTTTTTTTTTTTTTTAAGCAGGATTTATTGAGAGGACAGAAAAGCTCCCTCAGTGGAAGGGGGCCCGAGGGGGTGGCCTAATTTATTATAATTCTTAAGGACCCTGGGAGTTTCAGAATGGTAAATGAGCATTGACTTCAACTTAAAGTCATCAAGCTGCATTAGTCCCTAATAAGAAAGTCAGCCTTTCCTTTGGAGCTATGCACTGACTTCTCTTCTCTAGCTATGAAAATCCTAGATGGCATCTACTTTCAGTAGAAGGCTGTTTCATCTATATTGAATATCTGTTTTATTTATTTGTTTTTTGAGTCAGAGTCTCACTCTGTTGCTCAGGCTGGAGTGCAGTGGCACACTCACGACCACTGCTGCCTTGACCTGCTGAGCTTAGGCAATCCTTGTGCCCCAACCTTCCAAGTAACTGGAACCACAGGCACAGACCACCATGCCTGGCTAATTTTTTGTTGTTATTAATTTGTTGTAGAAATGAGGTCTTGCCATGTTGTCCAGACTGATCTCAAACCCCTGGACTTAGGCAGCCTTCTCACTTCTGCCTCCCAGAAGTCTGGGATTACAGATGTGAGCCACTGCACCAGGCTGTTTTGTTTTTTTCTTTGCTTGAGTTAGGGTCTCACTCTGTTACCCAGGCTGGAGTACAGTGACACGCTCATGGCTCACCATAGCCTCAAACTCCTATTCTCTTTTTTTTTGAGTTGGAGTCTCACTCTGTCACCCAGACTGGAGTGCAGTGGCCGCTCCCGGCTAATTTTTTGATTTATTGTGGAGATGAGGTCTTACCAAGTTGCCCAGGCAGGTCTCGAACCCACGGGCTCAGGCAATCTACTCGCCTCAGCCTCCCAAAGCACGGGATTACAGGTTGAGCCATCGAGCACGGCCAAACTCCTATTCTCAAGCGATCCTCCCACCTCAGCCTCCCAAGTAACTGGGACTACAGGCTTATGGTATACCCGGCTAATTAAAAAAAAATTTTTTTTGTAGAAATGTGGTCTACTGTACTGCTCAGACTAGTCTCAAACTCCTGGGCTTATGCAATTCTCCCTTCTTGATCTCCCAAAATGCTAGGATTACAGACGTGGGCCACTATGCCTGGCTGAAAATTTGTTGTTTAGTATAATCACCTTCATCAGTGATCTTAGCTAGACCTTCTCCATACCTTGCTGCAGCTTCTACATCAGCACTTGCTGCTTCACCTTGTGCTTTGGAGATGGCTTCTTTTCTTTCCTTCTTTCTTTCTTTTTTTGAATTGGAGTCTCACTCTGTCGCCCAGGCTGGATAGAGTGCAGTAGCACACACATGGCCACCCCCATCAACTTGCTGGTGATCCTTCCACCTCAGTCTTCCAAGTAACTGGAACTATAGAGGTGCGCTACCACTCCCGGCTAATTTTTGATTTATTGTAGAGATGAGGTCTCACCAAGTTGCCTGGGCTGCTCTCGAGTCCGCGAGCTCATGCAATTCACTCGCCTGGGCCTCCCAAAGTGCTGGAATTACAGGCTGAGCCACTGAGCCAGGCCGGCTTCTTTTCTTGAAGCTCATAAAGCAACCTAGCTTTAGAATTTTCTTCTGTAAGCTTCCTTACCTCTCTCAACCTTATAGAGTTGAAGAGACTTAGGTCCTTGCTCTGGATTGGGTTTTGGCTTAAGGGAATGTTGCGACTGGTTTGATCTTCTAACCAGATTACCAAGATGTTCTCCATGTCAGTGGTTAGGCTGTTTTGCTTTCTTATCATTTGTGTGATCAATGGAGTAACACTTTTATTTGCCCTCAGTAACTTTACCTTTGCATTTATAGCTTGGCTGTTTGATTCAAGAGGCCTAGCTTTCATCCAGTCTCTGCTTCAGCACTAAGCTTACTCAATTCTAGTTTTTGATTTAAAGTGAGAGATGTGTGACTCTTTCTTTCACTTGAATACTTAGAAGCCATTTAGGGTTATTAATTGAACTAATTTCAATAATGTTGTTTTTTTAGGCAATAGGGAGGCCAGAAGAGAGGGAAAGAAACTGGGGATGGCCAGTTGGTATAGAACAAACACATTTATCAGTTATTTCGGTGTCTTTCATGAGTGTGATTCATGGCATCCCAAAACAGTATAATAGTAACATCAAAGATCACTGATTGTAGATCACCATACAGATATAATAATATAATGAAAATAATAATAATGATGATGAAACTGTTTGAAATAGTTCAAGAATTCCCAAAATGTGACAGCGAGACATGAAGTGAGCATATAGCATTGGAAAAATGGTATGTATAGACTTGCTTAATGTAGGGTTGTCACAGATTTTGAATTTGTAAAATATGCAGGATCTGTGAAGTGTAATAGAGTGAAGCACAACAAAATGAGGAATACCTGTAGATATGAAAATGCTTTGAAAGGTTAGAGAGCTCTGTGTAGGCCAGGCACAGTGGTTCATGTCTGTAATTTCAGCAATTTGGGAGACCCAGGCAGGAGGATTGCTTGAGCCCAGGAGTTCGAGATCACCCTGGGCAACATAGTAAGACCTCATCTCTACAAAAAAAATTTTTAAATTAACTGGGCGTGACGGCATCTCCCTGTAGTCCCAACTACTCAGGAGGCTGAGGCAAAAGGATCTCCTGAGCCTAGAAGATTGAGGCGGCTGTGATTGTGCCACTGCACTCCAGCCTGGGTGATAGAATGACACTCTGATTCCAAAAAAGAAGTATTATGCAAATTTAGGACATTTTATTATATTCGAGCTTATATTTAGTTACCACATTTTCTTAAATGCTAGAACAGAGACCCTCGATTCAACAGCAATTAAGTTTTGAAAATGTATGAGAAAGCATAAAGTAGTATATAATTTTAGATTAAAGTATTGTGAATGAGCTATTCACCTGAAAATAGGCTTCAAAGCTAAAATAATGCATCCCTTTAACAAAATTTACTTTGTGCTTTATATGGGTAAGACATTGTATAGTTGTATATCAAACCAAGATAAGGTACTGTGAATTTATGTAAGGTTTTATTTATTTATTTTTTTGAGTCTCATTGTATCTTTCAAGTCTTCAGTGATGGGTAATATATTTTCATATATCTGGCCAGATGTCTTTTTCTTCTTGTTTGAGTGCTCTTCCTTAGCTGTTGTCATGGATACCAGTGGCAAGAAACTAGAACTGAGCTCATGATGGTCAGGAAATGGGGAAGAGAAACTTACATTTACATAACGTATACATTATGTACCAGGAATTGGGCTAAGTATTTTGTGTGCATAGAATCCATGCATTTGATTTTACTTAATCCACATAACAATTCTCCAAGGTTGGTACTGGTACCTCCATTTTATAGATGAAGAAACTAAGGCTCAATTAAGTCAAAATGCTTGTCAAAGTTATCAGATGTGGCCAGGCTTAGTGGCTCAGCCTGTAGTAATCCCAGCACTTTGGGAGGCCAAGGCGAGAGGATTGCCTGAGCCCGGGGGTTTGAGACCAGCCTGGGCAACTTGGTGAGACCTTGTCTCTACAATAAATCACAAAAACTAGCCAGGCGTGGTGGTGAGCGTCAGTAGTTCCAGCTGCTTGGGAGGCTGAGGCGTAAGGATGACCCAAGACCAGCAGGTCAAGGCTGCGGTGGCCGTGAGTGTGCCACTGCACTCCAGCCTGGGCGACAAGAGTGAGACTCCAACTCAAAAAAAAAAAAAAAAAATCTCAGAGGTAAGAAATGACAGAGGGGAGTTTGAAACTTGAGTCCGAATTCTTCCCATTATACCACACTACTCCAAATCTATTAATATTAGATCCCAATTGTGAATGGAAATAACCACAGAAAAACCAGAAACCTTGGGGTCTTTGGGTAAGTAATTGATGATACTAACATCAAGGAGTATACCCTGATCTATGTGTGCCCTGATATGTCCTAATCTCTAGCAGGAACCCCTCCAAAAAGGATGCCCTGATCCAAGATGGCCTCCCAATCAGCCCTAGTTAAAGATGGTGCTACCCTCGCACGTCCCTCCCTCCATTCCATTTGGCCTCCTTTACTCTTTTTTCCGGAGACTAAAAAGGCCTTCTCCAGCACAAAGATGGCAGTACAAGATAGCCTTCTTTGCCCTGTCTTGCCAAAAGTAGCTAGAACCTCATTTACATTCTTCAGAATGTTGCTTCTTTCCAGACTCAACGATGGCCACACACTCCACATCCTTCAGCCCTCATCTCGTCATCATTATTCTTGTTATTTTAGAGAGGCGGTCTCTCTGTGTTACCCAGGCTGGACTCAAACTCCTGGGCTCAGGCTATCCTCTTGTCTCAGTCTCCCAAGTAGCTGGGATTACAGACATGCACCACTGTGCCCAGCTTGTTTTATTACTTTTTTTTTTTTTTTTGAGTTGAAGTCTCACTCTGTCCCTCAGACTGGAGTGCAGTGGCCGTTCCCGGCCACTGCAACCTCGACCTGCTGGGCTCCGGCTATCCTTCTGCCTCAGCCTTCCGAGTAGCTGGAACTACAGGCGTGCGCTACCACACCTGGCTAATTTTTTTGATTTATTGTAGAGATGAGGTCTCACCAAGTTGCCCAGGTGGGTCTCGAACCACGGGCTCAGGCAATTCACTCACTCAGCCTCCCAAAGTGCGGGATTACAGGCTGAGCCACCGAGCCCGGCTGTTTTATTACTTTCTAATTTTCATTTTGTTTTCCCTTCATGGAATTGGACATTTAAAAAATTAGATTCTAGTTATTGATACAGAATTTGAGTGACAAGAAATTTCTATCAGCAGCTCTTTTGATATTCCATGTTTGCAAAGGGAATGTTTTAAAAACACTTAGTCTCATTACTGTTGCTTGGTTACCTTTTTTAAAAGCTTATTTTAGTGATTTAAGAATCACTTAAAATGTCTATTTAGCTATCTTTTTCTAGTTATCTAGTTATTTAAATTGAAATTTACTACTTTTTCTATCATTTTTATAGTCTATTGCATCGGGAGACATGGATTTCAATCAACTGGAGGCATTCTTGACTGCTCAAACCAAAAAGCAAGGTGGAATCACATCTGACCAAGCTGCTGTCATTTCCAAATTCTGGAAGAGCCACAAGACAAAAATCCAAGAGAGCCTCATGAACCAGAGCCGCTGGGATAATGGGCTTCGTGGTCTGAACTGGAGAGTTGATGGCAAGTCTCAGTCAAGGCATTCATCTCAAATACATACCCCTGTTGCCATTATAGAGCTGGAATTAGGGAAAAGTGGACAGGTAAGTTCAACTTCCCATTTCTCATTTTTCATTACATATTAGCCTTCACACTCAGATATATTTTATGTAGCAGTCTTCTTTGCAAGGATAATAACAATAGGAAATGACACTTTCCTGGAATCCTTTTTCAGAGGTGGAATCATCTGCAGGCCGGGTGCGGTGGCTCATGCCTGTAATCCCAGCACTTTGGGAGGCTGGGGCAAGAGGATTGCCAAAGCCCAAGAGTTTGAGACCAGCCTGGAACTTGGCAAGACCTCGTCTCTATGATAAATCAAAAAATTAGCTGGACATAGTGGCGCATGCCGTTAGTTCCAGCTATTGGAAGTCTGAGGTGGAAGGATCGCCAGAGCCCAGGAGGTCAAGGCTGTGGTGATCATGAGCATGCCACTGCACTCCAGCCTGGGTGACAGAATGAGACTCCGACTCAAAAATAAGTAAATAAAAGAATCATCTGAAAATGTCAGTACGTACTTCCAGTTGTGGGCAGAGTTTGAAAACCAGCCTCAGGGTCCTGGCAGCTGTCTCAGAAGAACAGAATGGGCAAATAAGGTGATTGCACAGAAGCTGGCCAATACTGCATTTGGTTAGATTGCAAAATCTTTGGCATTTGGTCAGAATCCCCAAGGCAGTACTAGAGATACTATTCAGATTAAACAACACAATCTTACTCAGTTGTCTCTATAATCAGTCAGGTATAGGAGGCCATATATCCTAATTACATTAATGTATTGTTCTTAAAGATCCTAAGTGTGCTATGTCTGTCCTAGAGCCCCCAAATAATTATCAGTTTTGATCTTGATTATTTCCAGAATAGTGCTGCTTTTCCTTGTAATGTCCACCGTCATTATAAAAGATATTTTTAATGTCCGCATTGTTTTTTCAAATTTGTGCTCCAGATGACTGCCAGCTTGGACTTTCAGTGATCTGGCTTATGTCTGGGGAAAAAAAAGAGATTTGTAATTAGGAAGAGAAAAACCTGGGTCACTGAACTAGCTAATCAGCTAATTAGATTCATTTCCAGATAAGTAACCAAATACATGTTTCTGTTACATTCTACAATAGAAATTTATTTCTTTTCTTAATGATAGGAGGTTTTTGTTTGTTTGTTTGCTTATTTGTTTGAGTTGTGGTCTCACTTCTGTCAGCTGGGCTAGAGTGCAGTGGCTTGATCTTGGCTCACCGCAGTCTTGGCCTTAGCCTTCCAAGTAGCTGGAACTACAGGCATGTGCCACCACACCTGACTAATTTTTAAAAAAATTTTTTGTAGAGACACGGTTTCACTGTATTTCTCAGTCTGGTCTCAAACACCAGGACTCAAGTGAACCTCCTTCCTCAGCCTCCCAAAGTGCTGGGATTACAGGCATGAGCCACTGAACCCAGTGAGAGTGTTTTTTAACTGTCAGATATCCTCAAATATTTTCTTCTGTAGTTTCTTTAAATATTTCAATGTTTGTACTTTCATACTGACTTCAATTTTTTTTTTTTTTTTTTGAGTTGAAGTCTCACTTGGTCGCCCAGTCTGGAGTGCAGTGGCCGCTCCTGGTCACCGCAGCCTCGACCTGCTGGGTTCCAGCGATCCTTCCGCCTCAGCCTTCCAAGTAGCCGGAATTACAGGCATGCGCTACCACGCCCGGCTGATATTTTGATTCATTGCAGAGATGAGGTCTCGCTGCCCAGGCAGGTCTCGAACCCGCGGGCTCAGGCAATCCACTCACCTCAGCCTCCCAAAGGCACGGGATTGCAGGCTGAGCTGCCGAGCCCGGCTTGACTTCAATTTTAATATAAAAGATAATTCATTAAAAGAATTC